AAACCCCTCTTTCCTCCAACAGTTAGCTCGCAATACAACAAAAAGAGCTATTACCAAAAATTTCTGAGGGTTACTTCCTTACCTTGGTCAACCATGTTAATGCAACCTTGTGCAAAATGATAGTCATAATATAGCAGAAAGAGCTATTATAAAAAATTTCTGAGGGTTACTTCCTTACCTTGGTCAACCATGTTAATGCAACGTTGTGCAAAATGATAATCAGTTATGACGAACTTGTAGGCTCTAACCAAATACCCTTCACACTTTCTTTGTGCTTAGAAATGAGCTTGAGGCGACAATTTCCTACAAGGCAACAACAAAACCAGGTCTAATGCCAAGGAAAATAGCATGCTATAGTACAATTACAAAAATAATATAATCAAACTTAGCTATAATACGTTGTTGAACTTGGATCTCTCATTTCAAGCATCGGGTCGTTAGGCATAAACTCCTAGTTGCCAAAAAAAAAAAATGCTTCAAAGATTTCTTTGAATACAAATAGTTTGCAACTAGACCTTAACCTAATCCAAGTGGATAAGTAAAACCAACCCAAAAGAGTTAGGAAAAGATGTAACATAGATCAAAGCTTCGAGTATCAAGTTCATCAAAACAAAGTAAAAGATCCAATCATGATCCTCCATTCATTAATCCTAAGTTGAGCAGCAGAAACTCACATTCCTTAAGAAATAGAGGAGGGTGTAAGGCCAAAGACCCTTCCAAAGGGTGACTAACTTGAAACTACATCTCTCGAGGCAAAAACATTGCTTCAGCAGTTCATGCGGAAGTAATCCTATTTTTTTAGACCTAAACATGTATATATCATATTTGGCTAGAAAGGAGGAATTCTCAGTCCAAATTAGAAGCATGCATAACCCGTTCAACTAGAAATTTTATACTGCAGCACAAATTTCAACTTTGGGCAAAGGAAAATGTAACGATCGCAGAATGCCTGCTTCGTGGGTTTATAAGCACTTTGGATAAAACATGCTCTTAAAACCATTTTGTATAGGAAAAATACCAGAGGGCTTATAAAGCCACGAGGCACATGGGGTGCAATTTGATGGTTAAATGGAAAAATGTTTCATTTTTTTCAATAGAACCCTCGTGTTCACACGAGCAGAATTGCCTTCCAATAAATTGAATTTACGATTATGGAAATAAATTTCTGAGCTGCATTGTATTCTTGATTACATAGTATTTTCAAAAAGCAATCAGAATTTAAAAAAATAGTACATTTCTCAAACAATAAGCAAGTGTAAATTAATGCAGAATTTAGACAAAACCTAAAAAGAAAACAGATTGGTGAACTGTTATGAACCAAAAATTGCAAAAAAACTCCATGTAAGGGAACATATTAATAAGGTTTAAATAACTGATAATAATGTGGACGATCAAAAGGTTTGGGCAGCTAATACTGGGTTGTGGGTTAAGGAAGAACATAGGAGGCGAAAAGGGGGTTTGGTTAATGTTAAAACGTACTTTTTCAGTGAAGTTATTGTAAAATTAAGTGAATTTACATTTTTGTTACTTGAGACTAATTTTTTATCTTTAAAATCAAGCATGGACAAGAATTTTATCTTTTAAGGGTTTTTCAACAAATTTAACTCAAGAATGATGAATCCAGAATTTATTGGTGCAATGCACTTCACACATAACCTCTGGATCTATGTGAAGCTTTTCTGAATTGTTTTAGTCTTTGTTTTTGGAAGCCATCTCCTTTCGATGAAATTCAATTATCGCCATAATTAACAGCGATATCGCCGAAGTTTTTCGCCCAAAGAAGAGAAACGTGGAGGTATGATAAAAGAGAA